TGGCTTTAAAAGGATAGTGAGAGTCTCTCTCTCTGCTCCGCCATTTTCTGCCATGTGAGACCCCTGCGTCCCTATAAAGCCACCACCAGTGAAGACCTTCACCAGATGTGTTCCCTGGACTTCCCAGCTTCTGAACTGTAAGCAATAAATTTTGTTTTCTTATAAATTACCCAGTTCCAGGTATTTTGCTATAAGCAACAGAAATGGACTAACACATACCCGATGCACAGTAGTTGTCACCTGAGGCCTGATGACCACAATGGCCATCTCTGTGCCCAGGGCAGCGTGCCAGGTGTGGCATGCATCATGCCTACAGTCATAGGGGGCTCGTAAGTGGCTCTAATGCAGAAGCCTGCTCTGTGGTTGTCTCATAGCCACCCGGTTCAGCTCAGTACCTTCTTATTGCCATCCCCTACACTTGGGGTGGTCTCTGTGGCCCAGTGACATGTGGACCTGGGATGATTTGGGAGAGGTGCTGAGTCGTGGGGTTTCTAGACTTTACTCTGCAGTGCTGCCCAGAGACAGAGCGTGTGAGTGAGTGTGGACTGGGGATGCGTCCCAGGTACCACGACTCTGCCCTTCAGCATAGTACACATTCAGGCCCCCATGACCCTGCTCCCTGGGTCACAGGAGCACACAGGTGTGCTTGGCAAAGTGTGTGGCATCTGGGCTCCTCCGGGGAGTATTTCATTTCTCTGTTTGCTGTTCCCAACCGCTGGTGTGGAGCCTGACTGCATGCCTACTTTGTGACCCCAGCTGCAAGTCAGATTATCCAGGGTTCAGCTGGGACATGCTTGGTTCTGCTGACTGTGAAGAGAGAGGGTGGTGTGTTTGCAAAGATAGTTCACAGAGCCCGAGGCATGTGGTGTTCCTAGTGAGCAGTGCTCTCCCTCAAGCAGACCCTGCACTGCATAGTCTGTCGTGCCCGTGGTCACCTGCCTCCTGACAAAATTGTTGGCTGGGCAGGGTCCAGACCCTCCCCCTCGGGTGGCAAGGGCACCAGGTGGGGCTGGTTGTCAGCATCTTCAAAGTCAATGAGTTCAAGGCTGCTTGCTCACCTGTTGGTGTTGTGTGGGGGCCGGGGGTGCACAGATGTCACCACTGAGTTAGATGCCACAGGGGAGGCTCTGGGAGGTCACAGGTGCTTATGCCTGTGGCTTCTGGTTGGGCCTCAAGACTGGGTTTGAGTCTGCTCTGATGTCCAGAACTGGGCAGGTGCCCCAGGATGACCCCGCAGAACGTCCTGCACTGACTGTCTTGGCCTCCCTCTGGACCTGTAGAGGAGCTCTGGGCACCTGCCCTGTGCACATCAGGGTGGGCCAAGCAGGCTCCTGCAGATCTGAGTGGTTGAGGGATTGCATGCTGTTGTCTCAGTCCACCTGCTGCTGGCTGTGATCCTAGAGACTGTGTCTACTGCCCCCCATTTCCCATGACCGGGGGGCCCCTTCCTCTGTGTCCCCAAACTCATCACATTCCCCTAACCCTGCCCCCCATGTGTACATATGCCCTACCCATGAACACACACATTCTCCTTCTTCAGTCTCTTCCATCTTAGTGGCTTGCCCTGTGATTTTTTTTAGCCACCCAGGCCAGGACTCTGGCCTCACTCCTGACTTCTCCCTCACCCCCACATCTGCTCAGCTCCCACCCTGCAGATCCCATCCTTAATAGGCTTATCCTCCCCCTTCCCATGATGATGTGGTGCTGGCTCTTGGTGTCACACCTGGGCTGGCCCCATAGCCTTCCTCCTGGCCTTCCCTCCGTGCTGCCACTTAGGCATACCTGCCTGACCTCCCTAGGCCTGACTGTCAGGACACAGGCACCTGTGTTTAGGCAGTTAGGAGGGCAGTGAGGGCAAAAACAGGGTCGTGGGATGGAGCTTAGCTCCTGTCTGAGAGGAGACCCGAGGGATGTGGGGACAAATCAGGGAAGGAATTGGGAGAAGGAAGGAGAAGCAGGTGCAAGGCCCTGAGGAGGGGCCTGTTCAAGGAGCAGCACACAGATTGTCGAGCAAAGCAGAGGCAGCGAGGAGGAGGCGGTGCGAGGTTTGGGCAACCTGGGCCTTGTGTGGATAGAGGGGAGTGATCGAGGGCTCTCGGCACAGGACTGACACACTGGCCTTGTTATTCTCTTGAGCCAAAAGCGCACAGAATGAGGTTAAGTACCTGGATTCATAACACATACTGTCACTGGTCCACATATGGTCTTCTTTTATGTTTTTAAGTTTTGTTTAAAGACCATGGGAGAACCCTCCCCCCAACTCAAAGGTTCAAACCTTGCCACAGAAAGAGTAACACACTCTTTTGTCATCTGAGATTTGCTCTCTTTGTCACGTGTAGGTGTTGCACGTGGCTGTAGCATATCCAGCTTTTCATTCATTCTCTTGCTGAGGGGCTTCTAAGTTGTTTCAGATTTTTACTGTTGCAGTGCAAGTGGGGACAGTTTTGTCCATAGCTGCTGTGGACATGTTTTAATAGTTTCTTTGAATATATACCTAGGAGTGGAATGACTGAGTAATAGGGGATACAAATGTTAAACTTTAAGGAAATACCAAATTATTTTCAAAAGTAATTTAGTAGTTTTCATTCCCATCATCAACTTATATAAGATCCGATTGATTTGTGTCCTTTCCAACTCTCAATATTGTCTAAATTCTTAATTTTTGGCAGTTAAATGGATGCAAAGTGCTATTTCTTGATTTACATTTTACTGTTAACTAATGATGTTGATTACTTTTTCCTATGGTTACTAGCCATATGTGTTTCCTTTTCTAGGAAATATTTTGCCCATTTTTAAAATCATGTTTTTTTTTCCTTACTGCTTTGTGGGTGTTCTGTGTGTGTTCCTGATCCTAACCAGGTAGCGAGGTTGTTGTATCAGTTCTATATTCCCCTTGATCATAAGACAGTGGGGAGGGGGGCAGCATCTTTTGTGGGGCAATGTGAAGGGATCATGTGTCCAGAGGGCAGAGGCAGGCTCTGGGGATTCTGTTCCTGGTGGGTGTGTAGCAGGAAGAGCAGGGCCCCACAGTCATGTGGGCCTGGCTTCTAGTCCTGCCCTCGTCCCTGACTGCTGTGCAGGTTTGGGGTGTGACTTCACTTCTGAGCCCCTAGTCCTCCCTGTGCCCCCTCCCCTTGCCGTGCCCACCTGGTGGCTGTGCTGGTGTCTTGGTGCTCAGGCTGAGGGAGTCCAAGGCAGCCATTTGTTTCTTGCTGGTCCACAGACCAGGCACCAAGCTCAGCATATGCATTTAACTGGTGGTGGTGGTGGGGAGTCGTTTTTGTTTATGTTTTGTTTCTGTAGATATTATTTCTGGAAGATTCGTTGTTGCAGTAATGATTTTCATTTTACTCCTATGTTGCCAGTTTCAGTCCTGGGAGTATTGTTTCACTCAGGCCTCCAAAGTACCAATGAGCTTTTAACAGACAGCCTGGCCTAGTACAAAGAGGTAGCACATAGAAAACAAATGCCCTCAGTTGTCTGGGGTTTGGCAGGACTTGAGCAATACAGTATTACAGTGGAGATGCCATTTTCCCCATTGCCCTCAGGTACCACTGCATTGGAGTCTCCCCTTCCTGCAGGTCTTCAGGAGCGGGATGCTTGAGTCCTTACAGGGGGTCCCACGTTAGTGTCCTCCCACTCAGGGGATGGTGTGGAATGGCGGTGAAAGGAGGCAGGGCTGGCCTTGTTCTAGCTCTTCTTCCGTGGTAGACATGGTCCTTTCTCGGGAGGAATCACCACCTGTTCTCTGTGCAGTGAAGGGCACTGTCACCTCCTCATGTGTCTGCTCAGGGCCTGGTGGATCACTGACTGAATAAAGAATGAAAAATACTTCTACACAGTAGCTGGAAGAGGCACATGCCATGCAGTTTTTTCAACAGTGGCCATGCAGCTCACTTGATACGTTTATTTTGTGTTCTCGTCTGCAAGAAGTGTATGATCTGTTCTCATTTTCTGAGCATGACCTGGTCTAAGATGCGGCCAGTGAGGAATCTGCATGAGACGCTGGAGGTCAACTATTCTCATGGGCTTCGAGGCCCCTTGGAGAGTTGGGGGACAGGGGATGATGTGACCGATTAGGGCTTAGGTCAGGTGACCTCTACTTTTGGGCACCCATATTCCTGCTCTGAAGTGTGGTTTATGCCTGTTCTGTGGTGGCTTTCCCTGCCAGCCAGACTGCTGAGGCATGGCAGCCTCATGGGTTTCTGCTTGGGGTCCCTGAGATAAGGAGCTCCCTGGAACTGGATTGCTCCAGCAAAGGCTTCTCTCCCCAACCCCTGAAGTTGTGGCTCAAACTTGGTGCTTGGTGAGGGCCCTTTGTCAGGAGAAGGCTGCTGGGTTCTCAGGCCCTAGCATGGCCATCGCTGGCTTGGATAGTCAGGAACCTCCCTGCTTTTCTACCCTTGTGGGAGGGGATGGGCCAGACACTTTTGGGGAGGGGTTGAGGGAGGGGACACTTTGTCTGTATTCTGGCATTCTATTCAGTGGTAGCCATGGTTCGGGAGCTTCAGAGATTTTCTGAGATGTGGCCTTTGTCAATAAAGTCACCTTAATCAGTTCTTCCAGAACACGGTGTGCTGAGAAGTTGAGGGTGAATTGTTTTCCTCCTCTATCACTAGGGGCATTGAAACTCCCATCCTGCCTGTCTCCCCTCTATTTCTACCCATAATCCCATAGTCCCTCTTAGGATCTCTCCTCTGTGTCACTTGTAATTCATAGTTAGTTTCAAGTGGCAGGTTTGGGGATGGACTTTGTGTTCTGTCATGTTACCTGGCTGCCCACTCAGGTACCTTCTCCAAACAGTAGGATCCTGGGCCTCACTGGGGCAGCAGTTCTGGCCCTGGTCAATAGTGCCAGCTGTCTACTGCCTGGTTCCAGGGGCCCTGTGTACTAAGCAGGAGTAGAGGCCGCAGGGGTGGTGGGAGGTACATTCACTGCAACCCCAGGGAGAAGGCCGGTTCACCCATAGCCTCTGACCCACTCACTCTCATGTCTTGCAGGCTCAGCTGTCACAGGCCCTGGAGGAGCTGGGAGGCCAGAAACAAAGAGCGGACATGGTAAGCCCTGAGATGGGTGCTTGTGTGTTGCCTCTGTGGTAAAGGGAACTCTAGGGTTTAGGGCACTTTGAGTCCTGGCCCCGGGCAGGAACTCCTGCCCCCATCAGTGTCCTGCAGGTGCAAGTGAGTAGCTTCCACCATGGCCATGGTCCTTCTCTGTCATTGGAAGTGGTGTTAAAAATGGATGTGGCCAGTACTCCCAGTGAAGACAGCATAGGTAGCAGTGAAGTCAGGGCACTCCAGCATCCAGATTTCTGGTCTGGGGGAGTGGCCATGAATTGGGGACCCAGGGGAGGGCAGTTCCTTTCCCAGAGCCCTGGAGAGGGAACTGTTTCCAGTATAGAGTGACTGGCTTGGTCAGTCTGCCAAGAGGATCTATAAGAGGAGCAGAGAATTGCCTTTGGCTTTGGCAACAGGCTTTTTGTTAATGATTCTAGTGACAGCTGTTTCCGAAGGGAGGCAGAGAAAGCTTGACTGGACTTGCAGAGGCTGGGGAAACTGAGTAGAGGCAATCTTCTGAAGTGTTTGCTCTGCAGAGCCCAGGAGAGTGGCTTGAGCTGAACAGTGAGACTGGGTCCGGAGAGAGTTTATGTTACCCGATGGGCAATGGAATAGCATGTGTTTATACTGATGGGAGCATCCCAGTGGGGATGAGAGGGGCTGGAGGTGGCAGGGCCCTCTGCCATGTGCCAGAGGGAGGTGCAGGTGGCTGGCAGAGCCCCTGGTGCTTCCTTCTTCTCTTTTTTTTTTTCCAAAGTGAGTTGTAAGGCCCAGTAGGGAAAGTAGATCTGTTAGGGAGGAGGCGATGGGGTGCTGCCAGTGCCCAGTGAGACTCATGGTATGAACTTGAAGCAAGGCTGGTGAGCAGTTTCTACCCTGCTTAGGGGCTTCCCAGTATGCACAGACATTGTCTAATGGGGTTTAACCAGGGCCAAGGTGTGCCAGAGAAGAATATTGTAGGTCATGCTGGGATATGTAGCTAAACGGAGGGAAGAACGGGCTGTAAGACTATTACAGTGCAGTCCTTCTATTTACGTATGTTTCTAAAATTTAAGTGTTCACCATCGTTATTTTCAGGCCATAGAAATAACATGGGTTTTTTGTTTGTTTTTTCTCTCTGTTTCCTGCAGTGGGCATTCATTACTGCTGTACTTTAAGGGGCACCCATTATAACTTTGTTGTTCAGTAGGAGGCCCTACTCCAAGCTCACTACCTTCCACCAGGATGGTTCAGGATGAGAGCTGGCAAATGCTCCTTCTCTGAGTGAGAGGCGGGCCAGGCAGGGTTCTGTAGACCATGGGGTCTGGTGCATGAGCATGTGGGTGATTAACAGGAATGCCTTGGCCTTTTTCACCTGTGGCAGTGTTGGTAGTTGTGGGACAAGCCCCTAGTGTGCAGCCCAATCTTTGTCTTTTCCAGACCCGTGGAATGTCAGTGCTTCCTTCTCATTAACTGAGCTTTCCAGGCTCCTTAAATAAGGGCCCTATTTTGTGTTGACTTTGGAGAATCTGGGGCTGGGGTGAGGAGTGTTCTTTGAAGATGATGACTCCATTTGAAGAAGCCCCTGGAGCCCCCAGTGTTCTGTGTGTTAACATGCGTGGCTTCCTTGATGTTGACCTGAATTGAAACATGCCCAAGGGCCTCGTTTCCAAAATGTACATGAGGCTGAGAGGAATTAGGACTGGAGCTGTGCTGAGTTTATGCCAGGCCCGTGGCTTTAGGACTGAGGACTTGCCAGTCACCCACAGCTGTCCTTGAGTTTGGACTCCCCAGTTTTCCACATGAGCATGGATGCCTCGGAGCTGGTGACTCGACCCCCCACCCTTCTCGCATATAATTTCTGTTCCTTGTTTGAAGCACCCAGGAGCTTTGAGGTACTGATGCCTGGGCTTATAGCATTGACTCAGAATTTGTAGGGGGTTGCCAGGCAGGGTCATGATTTTTCTTCTCCCCAGGTGATTCTGATTTTGGCCAGGGTGGAAGACCCTGTACCCCTAATCTTAGTGCAGAGGCTCCCGCCCCCAGGCTACTGGGGTACCTTAGGGAAGTGCTCAGCATGAAGCTTTTGATGAAATGTGGGTTGTCCCATGTGCTGACCCAGCAGAGATTGGCAGGGTCCCCCCAGCCTCATTCTCTGAGTGGATTTTCAGCCTGTCCCCCTGAAGGCAGGCACAGGTTCCTGTGACATAGACTGACGGTGCTGCGCCGCTTCTGTTGGTTTTCTTCAGGCTTGTTTTTGAGTCCGTGCTGGAGCTGTCTCCTCAGACAGGTTTGTAATCTCTGCCTTTGATGGTCTCATCTTTAGCTTATTTCACTTCTCTCTTCTCCTTCTCAGTTAAAAGGAGAATAAGAAATAGCAGTGCCCATGGGCCGAGATTGCAGGCAGGTTGCACTCATGTGGGGAGACTGAGGACCTCCGTGCTTCTGTCCTTCTCAGCAAAGCTCGCTGAGGCCCAGTTCCTGACCACAGTGAAGGTTGTGTGGGGGGCCTGGAGTCTGACAGATCTGTGTTCACATTCTGATTCTGCCACCAGTTACTTGTGTGAGCTTGGCCAGCCCCAGACTCCTCACCTGTCAAGGGGACCTCCTGACACCATTGCAGCTTGTTAACGAAGTTTATCCAGAGTAGAGAGCCTGAGTCTAGGAGTGCTTCCAGCAGAACCTTCTGCACCTGTGTGAGTGTGCTCTGTCTGCACCAGCTTCTGCAGTGGGCACTGGTTTTGTGTGCCATTGTGGCTAGTGCAGCTGAAAAGCTAAATAAAATTTCATCAGCTCACAGAACATCCATGTTCTTCCTCCTCGAGGCCTCTGCTTGTGGCGAGGCCTCTTCCTGGAAAGTTCTCTCCTCCCTCCCTTTTCCTGGGCTCGCAGGCCCATTTGCTGCCGGCTAACTTGACTCCTTGTTTGGATTCCAGCTTGTGTTCTTGACCATGTCCTTCCATTCTGAGTTGTAGTCCCCTCTAGGCAGGCTCCTGAGGGGACAGGAGGCTGTATCTCGAGGCTCCATGTCCTTCTTGCTGCATGCAGTGCCCTTCATAGGAGGCGCTGGGTCGAGGGGTGCCGAGCGCAGAGCTGGCTGGCCTTGTGGACCTCCTCATCCCAGCTTGCCTTGACCCCGGTGGCTGCCAGCCCTCCCCTCCTCTGTGTAAACCGGAGCCCCTCTTAGTCTCACTGGTTTTCTGTCTTGGGATTACAAGTAAAATGCATGTGGTTCGGTTTGAAGAAAGTTTTTGCTTCTGAGGTGCCCCACTGACCTGACTAGCTTTTCGTTTTTTTGGTGGAGGAAAGAGAGATTGGAAAGGAGAAACAAGCTGCCGCAGCTCCTGTGAGACTAGGAGGGCTGGAGTCTGCCTTGGGTCTGGCTCTTGGCCACTCCCCTCCCATTCCCAGCCTTGGCAGTGGGTGCTGTCTGGGGCAGGGGCACCTCTGGCTCCTGGGAAAGCTGGGGCTCAGGTGGCTTTCACTCCCAGGCCTTTATGTGGAAACGCCTTCACATGCAGGTGTCACTGTCCATATCCTGCAGACCCTACGTCCACTATGGTTTGGGATGTGGCCCTGGTACCTGTGTCATCTCCCAGTTCATAACTCCCTTGCCTGCTATTTTCTGTCCCAAAGTCAGATCACTACTTAGGAAAGGAGAAAAAGGAACGATTTAAACATCTTTAGCTATTTGCAGATGACAAGACAAAGGCAGTTCGACTTTCTGTTGTTAATTAGTAAACCCATACTAATTAGTAAGCATAATTACAATTCATGCTTTTTTCTTTAAATGCAATTAATATCAGAAGAAAGATGTCCTGGGCCATGGTTGTATCATTAACGTACCTCTCCCTAATTAGATATGGCCAGCAGTGGCTGGAGGAATGAGTTTTTTTATTACAACTATTAAAAAATCCTCTATTTTTTTTAATACTTCAGGGAGTGAGAATTGAAGATTTGTTTTCTGATGTCGAGGAATTACACCCCTCACAGCTCTGTGTAATTAAGCAGTCGTCTTCCTTGATTCCCACTTTCCCTTAACGATTCCTCATTGTCCCCCTCCCTGCTCCCAGGGTAGCCTGCAGTGGGGCTGCCCCAGGAAAGGGCTGTGGCTGTGGCAGAACCAAGGCCTGGCCAGACTACTTCATGTCACTTGCCCTGCTTTCTTTTACCTCTCAAGCAGGCAGTGTGACAGAGGCTACTGCGTGTGGAGGCCCGCTCTGCACCGGGACCAGTGACAGGTGCCTTACAGACAGATTCTAGGATCTGACAATCCTCCAGCAGGTCAGGGCCAGTGGTCCTGTGTGGAGAAGGACCCGGGCTCTCTGTGGCCCTCTCTCGAGCAGGAGCATGGCTTCTCATCAGAAGGCGAAGCACTGGCGGGGCAGTTGATAAGTGTCCTCAGTATAGAGATGAGCATATCATGGTAGCCAGTATTTGCTGGGTGCTCTCCAGGTACCAGGTACATGCTTATTGCTTCACCTGGATTATCTCACTGTAATTCTCACAGCAAACCCATGAGCTGGTCAGTATGATGGTCCCAGTTATTCAGAAGAGGGAAGAGGCACAGAGAGGATTAGTAACATGACCATGTTCACTAATGCCAGCTGGTGGAGAGCATGTGGGGTTCAGACTCAGGCAGTCAGACTCCAGATCCTGTGACCAGCACTGTGGACAGGGTAGGAGCCTCCTTATCCCAGTTGGTCTATGAACCCTGTAAAGATATTGGATTCTGTGGACCTCCACAGAACACTAGCCCAGGGCCAGCCAGTCAGCTGGTGATTTTAAAGTATTTTCTGAATGTCTGGATGTGGACATTCAGGAGGAAAGCAATTCATTCTCCCTCCATCCCCTTTCCCAGTCTGGGTACCAGTCTTTGTGGGTTTGCCCAGTTTGTAAAGATCTAAGAAGAAAATGCTGGTGACTTAATATTGTTGATCATCTGCATTTTAGAAACAATAGCCTGAAAAGATGTTTTCTTAGTCCAGAAAATAAATTTTTATTGGTTGTGGAAGGTACTC